GGCTGCGTCCCGTTTCGCGAGCGCGTGCTCGTCTCGTGGAACGCTGCAGGATCTCGTATCACGTGGCGTAGAAACGCATTATGAATATTCAACCGGGGTGGGTAGCTGGCATGGCTGCGTTCGAAATCCATTATTCATCGCCGCGGCGGCATCGGTTGCTGCGTTTTCCGCCAGGTCTGGGTTAGGGGGAGGGGGAGGTTAGGGGAGAAAGGGAGTGGACGGAGAAGAGTGAGAAATGGTTGGCAACGGGAAGAAAAAGAGGTCGAGGAAGAGTGGAGATTAGATGAGAGGAGGGAAGATTGGAGTTGGAAGATTGGAAAGAGGAAGTTGTAAAAAGTGGGAAAGAGTGTTGAAAGAAAGAAGAGGATATGAGGTGGGGAGGAATGATACGGAGGAGGAGGATTGGAGGAGATTGGAGGAGCGGTGGGAAGGGGAAATTGTAAAAAGAAAAAAAAATAGGAAGAATAGGAAGGAAGATGAAGTATTGAAAAGTGAGAAATGAAAGAATGATGGAAAAAAAAGAGAACAGAAAATAGGAGAAGGGTACAAATAAAATATTGAAGAGAAGAGATTAAGGATTAAGAGAAAAGGGGAACAAAAAAAGAAATAATCAAAGGTGTATAAAACTATAATTGAAAAGAGAAAGGAGAATTGTTGAATAGGAAACGAGCGTACGAGTTATAAATTAAAATATAAGAAAAAGATGAAAGGATATTGAAAAATGACAGAAGAAAGAAAGGGAAACAAAAGAAAGAAAAGAAATGTTCATATTTTTAGTTTCTCTTAACCATAGTTGTTCTTTTCGATCTACGTGTGCCTCTTTTGCATCGTCTCGTTTCTCTTCGGGATCCTCACCCTTCCAGTCGCTGGTTCCTCTGCTCGTTTCGCGTGGTTTTATTCGTTGGCGGAAAGAATGCGCTTCGTTCGGCCTAGTAATCGGTTCGAGGAGGCCAGCTGAAAGGGAGGAGAGGATCGCTTACGCAACAGAACGCCCTGCTCGAATTTTTCGAATTCCTTAGCGCGCGAAATAAACCAGATTTCCATGGTCGGAATGCATATCGAGAAATTGCTAAAATATTCGCTCCTTTTTTTCTTTTAAAGTATAAAATTAATACATATCCATTGAACTTATTATTTCCAATAATCTTTTTGATCCAATAAATTAATTCGTTAAATTTAAATATTATATTTATAATAATTTTATTTTATTTGAATTTTGTTCAAATAAACGAGACAATCGATAATATCCAACCACTGCCGAACATTCGCGATAAATCACCTGAGAAAAAATTGCGGCGAATCCTGCAAAGAAGTACAACCTTCGCACCCGTCACACGTGCGCGATTTTTAAAAATAATCTACATAATAAATCATCCTCGTAAACAAACAAGCTTTCATCGGGACGCCTAAATCACAGACCCGGATCAACCACCGGTAATTACAACTTAATTATACCGAAAACAACCCCGGTATCTCTCCTCGGTCTCGTTTCCTCTCGTAAACATTTATCCCGCGAGAAAAACAAGGAAGAAAAGAATAATCAAGATACGTTCCTCTAGGCCGCGAGTTAAGTAGCCAGACAGTTTTCTAGTTACACGCATCCAACGCGTGTGCAACGTGGTTATCGTTGGTCTGTTGCGGTGTTTTACATGAAATTACGTTCATTATACCCGCGGCGCGTCAAGGGGAAGTATAGCGTGAAAGGGAAATGAAAAATCGGGCGAAGAAGAAGGTGGCTCGTAAGGAACACCCGCTGCGACTTAACTTTGCATCCGTATCAATGCGCCCTCAGGATCGCAGGGTTCGATGCTTCTGATGTTACATTCTTGTGACATGGAATTTTCCATGTGGCAAAAACATCCGCGAGGTAGGATTAAAACGTGTTTACAATTAACTCGAGTGAAAAGTTTACTTTTCGATGTAGTTTGCTGAGGGATTTTTTTTTTTTTTTTTTTATTGGAATGTTTTTGCGGTTGAAAGATTTTGTTAGAATTTTACAGAGTGATCGTAAGAGCGTTGCTAACTATTTTTGAGGCTAGTTGTTGGTTCAAATTATGGTGCTGTGGTGTTTGATAGGAATTATATCAAAGTGAAGATTTCTTTTGGATTGCTGATATTTTTGATGTGAGGATAATTATTTGATTAAATAATTTTGATATTGATTGTGTTAATATAAAAGTTTAGTTATATAAATACAATAAATACATAATATAAACTATGTTTTATGTATTTATTGTTCCAAAGAAATTAAAGGATTCTTTGGAAACAGGTGAGGTAAAAAGCAATAATAAAAGTAGAATTAAATCTCGAAACTTTGGATTCTAATCCCTTAATAAGATTTTAAATAAATTTTAGAAATTATTTAATTAGATTATCAACTAAATCAATAACCAAATTAATTTTTTTTAATATTAAAGTATAGATAATTATGAAAAAGAATAAAAATGAAATTCATCCTTTTTAATGAAGCAAATATTATCTATTTATATACCAATTATATTAATCACACTTACATTAATTATGCTTCACTTCATAGTGAATGGATTACAGGTTTTATATGTTTAACGTAAATATTGATGTTTCGTAAGTCCAATCGATAATTCTATAAAGCACAATAATAGTATATCCTTTCATTACACAGCGAGAAGGTTGCAATTATTAATGTTCTTTCAACATTCAAATNCGTTCTTAATCAATTTATAAAAGATTGCAGTGAATCGGAATTGATGAAATAAGA